CAGTGAGCCATCTGGGAATGAATTATAATCTTTCCCTTGTTGTTTTATTTGTTTCCTTTACATGCTCTTCTCAGGAATTCAATTGGGGAAAGCCTAACCTAACTTGGGGATTTTGGGTCTTCCCAACAGAAATCGATTCGAGCTGTCTTTCCACTGCATGGGCTACCAGACGGCGTCTGCTCCAGCAACTTGGGAGGTTTGGGAGTCTACAGCTGCAAGGAGCTGTTCATGGTGCTTAAATTGGAAGCGCCACCCGTTGCAAAACTTTCTTATAAACTCAGCGTCATTTTCTCCTGCAGTGTAGACACCAATCCGAATCCAGTTGGTCATAAAAGCTGCAGATAGGGTCCAAAGAAGAGAACAATTTTGCATAACTCAATATTTTGATATTGAATTTTTGTTTCTGGATGTTTCCATTGCCTATTGTGTACTTGCCTGACTTTCAAGCATTGCTGCAACCCCAATAAGTGACGGTGGTGCAAAAATCGCAGCAAGCTAACGGTGTAAATTTTAATGGCAGACTCGCAGTTGACGCCGTGACTGTATTTTGATTGGATGTCCCTATAATATGGAAAATAATCGAACCCTTGTTTTTAATCTTTTATTTTCTATCGTTCTATGCACCGTGATTATTGCTCAACCCCCTTTGGTAATTTAATCAGTGATTTTTGTTTTGTCTTGACGATTAGGCACCACGAACAGAGGACATTTATCACATAAGGTTCAGCATCACTGTGTTGAAATGACAGCCTGTCATTCAAGGGCCAGACTCATCATATTTTATAGCTAATTTACACTGCGCCCTACAATACACATGTGATACATTACCTCCTTCTGCCGCTAGTTAATGGTATTTTATATTCTTCGGAAGAAAGCCTGCAGATGTCCCACCATTCTAACCCTTTGTGTGAGCTTTTACCCGCAGCCAGGCTCTCCTTGTGGCGACCTTGCGGACAAGGAGATACTGTCACCTGATTCACGTACAGCTGAGTGCGTTGGTGACCTTCTATCGATGGTGTATACCACGACCTTTTTAGGCATTAATTGCTGTGCTAACGCTGTCGGAAACGGCAGCTCTTCTGTCATGCAGCCTCAGTTTCATCAGTGTGTGTATCTTGTTATCATCGTTAACGTTATTTCATTCGGACTCTCATTTACTGTGTTTCTGATTGTAGCTGATTTAAAGGGCCCGAGAGTTCTCTCAGCTATTACAACTTTTTTCCTGTAAAATAATCGATTCATTCACCTATGTTTCCTACCAGCCACGCCCCCCGACCTCCCTTTTGTTCATTTACCTTTTATTTTATCTGGTTCCCTCCTGGTTTGTGTACAGGTTACTGATAATACAAGTTCGTTTTCTAACTAAAAAGTTGAATCGTCCAATAACTGAATTAAAGAATATATATAACATTAGCCAGTTAGAATGTGGAATTGAAGGAAAAGGTTCAGCAAATAATCTGAATTAATGGACTTTGAATTAGTATGAGCAATTTTATATTCCATGTTTTATCTTTTAACCATCGTGATCTCATTCTTTGGCCTTTTAACATTGATTGTCTTACTAATTAGTTGTTTTTCTGCTTCCACAATTCTCTTTAATCTTTTTTCATTTTTATTCTATTCATAATGTACCTGTCATTTCCAATTTTTTTCTCTGGTCACCATAATTTAGGCCAGTTATTTCATATATTAAAATATTTTAAATTTTACACCAAGGCTTAATGTACTCAGTATTGGTCACAAAAATAGTCACATCCAGAAGTTACCTTCCAGTGGGAACCACCCAAATGTCAAACTGGTTGCAGTCTGACTGCAACTGACAAAAAGTGAAGTATTAAAAGTTCTCTGGCTCACACTTAAAATTAGTTTCAAATTTTTTACTGTCGCCTGGAGTTTACACAAGCAGTTGAGTTCTTGTCACATAAATCTAAACATCAATTGAAATTAGCAGAACTGTGCTTGATATTCAAACAATGCTATGCAATAGACTCCATCTTTTTCTAGCCAAAGAGTTTACAGAGGGCCATTTGTATAACTTTGGATTTCTTGCCTCACATTGGTATGGTAACCATAGTGTAACTTTTCTGATTTTTGGATCCTCGGTTTTGTCTTAAGAATTTCCTGGGCCTTTATTCATTTTTTGTGAGGTGGATCCTTATAATATGTAATAATCTTAGTTCAACAATTTATTGCTGTTCATTTATATTCTGCCAAAGTCAAGGTCTTGTTTTCTGCTCTGTGTGTTCTGTTTTTCCTTTTTATTTTGCTCCTTATTTCCCTACTGTGTTCACCAAAATCCCCTACTGCCCCATTTTCTCCTCACAATGTCTGTCTACACATAATAGACATAACAGCGCTCTTCTTCCTCCCAGTGTAATATATTTAGCATAACATTTGCATTAGGTTTGTATTTTTCTGTTCTGTATGCCCCACATTAATTCAACAAACAGTTCCAGCATGTTACTGAAACTTCTGGAATGCACTGTTCCCTTTTAATGTGCATTGCATTGGTTCTCCATATTACTATTCAACAAATGCCACAATATCTCACCTATTGAAGTTATTAATTTAGCTAAGGGAAACCCACTATCTCCTTTCATCTGTCTGTACATCCCACTGGTATGAACAAGATAGAAGTATAAAGTTGTAAGTAATGTTGTTTCATATTTCTTATGCAGGCTAACATTTTGCAGTGCATTCAAAGCCAGTAATGCCTTTTATGTTTGACAATTAACTTAGTAAATTTGCCTTTTTGGATTATGTTGTCATATTAAGCCTTTCTTATATTGCTGTTTAATTCTGCAGACCATATGTTATATTTGTGTTAAAGATGTTCATATTTTGAATAAATTACATTTACTGGTTTGTGCAGTTTAAACATGCGTTTTAGTCTTCTACAAATTATTGGACATGCCAAATTGTTACCAATGATTTGTCTAATGTGCCATTTTATGTGTATGACATTTTAAAGAAGTTTCAAATATGCAAGTTGTGAAACGTTAATGATGCACAATCCATGGGACAGGAACTACTAGGTCTTCCATATCTTCTACTCTTTTGTTCTTCAACAAGCACCATCGTAACAAATAGATGTGAAGCATGTGAGAAATTACATTAATATCTATTTTCAACTTTGTTTTTTGTTCATTGCTTTGAAAAGAGCCTTAAATGTACGCGAAACTAGGGCCTGATGGAAAATGGACCATTTTCTTTGGAAAATATTTTATGTTGAAATAAAATTTATTATATATTGGTTGAAAAGCTTCAGAAGTATTATCTACTGACTAAGTTGATTTGAGGACAATAACTATCCATCAAGAAATGAACAATTAACAAGCTAAGATCTGCAGTATTTTAAGTGACTGCAAGAAAAGTATCCACATTAGAGGCATTTAACAGAAATAGTATTCCACAGAAGTCTGTGAATTTTAATTTTTTATAAATTCATAGAAGTTATTAACTTTAAAGAGTGGATATTATTTAGCACTTTGTTTAAAATCAATCCACAGCCAAGCCATGTGTACACGATTTCTTTGAGAGTCTGGTGGGAATGTAGTAATATATATCATTGCAGATAATAATTCATTGACTGGACAGGCCTGTTGAAGAGATTTGAAAATCGATGATTTGAGCAAAATATGTGTCATGAGAAAGGTTCTCTGTGCTACTCAGAGCATTTTACTTGAGCCAAGAATGAATGTTCTAAAACAGCAATATATTTGGTATCAAACTTAATATATAAATTTCTTACTGTACTGAATCTGCAGTTTTGTGCTGGTTTCATGCATAATGGTGAAAACACGATGTTCTGAATCATACTATAAATCTAAACGTAATAACCTTTATATTTACTGTACTGGTGTTCCTCAATCTCCTTTGTTGCCATGATTCAGAATTGCTGGTTAAAGACCACCAGGATTGTTGGCAGCGCTTATTCTTCATGTCGCAAGTACAATTTCTTTATCTCAGTGAGGATTTCTATGCAAAATGGCTACTACTAGGAAACCTGTAAACTGCAATTCTAAAGTATAACATAAAGCAACAGGGTGCCTGAGAGAGACCAGTGGGTACACAGATCTCTTTTATTTAGGAGAATGGTTAAATTAAAGACAATGCTTATACCTGTTGTTCCTTATTTACATAAATTACTGGGATGCATAAACCTGTTGTGAACTTTTATTAAATTTGTAGCAAGAATTGAGAATGCAGAAAGCGTTGTCCAATTGGGGATACAAATAGGAAATAAGATTTAATATTAATAAATGTAAAGAAAGAACAATCATCATATGTATAAATCCAGAGAGATTTTGTTCATCTTTAATATGGTATGAAATGCAGTGCATCATTTTTGAAACATACTGCTGTACAGAGTTCATCTGGAGTAGTGCACAGAATTCTGATTACTGTAATTTAAAAGTGACACCCATGAGAGATCACAAGGAAAATGACAAGAATTGTCCTAAGTGTGAAATATGCTGAGTTATGAACAAATGTTAGACGAACCTAACATTAACTGTTCTGAAAGAAAAGGTGAAACGGTGAGCCCACTGAGATACATTGCCCATTAAGTGATAAAGACAAGATAGACCACATATTTCTGAGGTCAGTCAGGCAAGTAGAACATGACTTTAAAAATAAATTAATTTTGTGAAAAATAAAGTTAACAATAATCTCAATGGGGTTTGGAGGTGGATATGTTTTTTGTTTAAAATGTGATAAAAGTTTGAAGTGATCTACTGGGTAGGTCCATGGAATTAATTGGAGATCAAAATGCAAGCTGAAGAGATGAGCCTGATAGATCTTTTCTTATATTAGTCTTTATTAATGTTTTATTGGATTCACAGTACATTATAGGTTGTGTGGTGTGAAGTAATGATTTTGTTTTAACTTGGTGTTCTGCAGTATGATTCTGAAAGGAGTGCCAAAGACTCTTCATTCTTGGCACTCAGATTTTGAAATGATTTTTGAGGCTTTTAATTAATTATTACCTTTCTTGGCAGGTTTTATTGGGATTTCACAATGCTGTTGTTTATGGTTGGAAATCTCATCATTATTCCGGTAGGAATCACCTTCTTCAAGGAAGAAACCACCACTCCTTGGATTATCTTTAATGTCGTGTCTGATACTTTCTTCCTCATGGATTTAGTCCTAAACTTCAGAACTGGAATTGTTATAGAAGATAACACCGAGATCATACTGGATCCACAGAAAATTAAGAAGACATATTTAAAAAGCTGGTTTATTGTAGACTTTGTCTCTTCAATCCCCGTGGATTATATATTTTTGATAGTAGAAAAAGGAATCGATTCAGAAGTTTACAAAACTGCTAGAGCACTACGAATAGTGCGGTTTACAAAAATTCTCAGTCTTTTACGATTATTGAGACTCTCAAGGTTGATAAGGTACATTCATCAATGGGAAGAGGTAAGACTATTTTTAAACACGTTTCCTATTAACACATTTGATACCGGTGATATACATTTATTGTCCTAGTAATTTAGACATGAGACATGAAAATTCTACAATATTGCACCAATTTTATGGTGTTCAATAGTCACAACAATTTGAATGTAATGGTTAAAAGGTCTTGACAATATGAATCATGACAGCGAATTTTGTTTGGCAGTGGCAGCAAGAAATAGGAGCAGGCCTGTGGTCTGAACCCATTCACAGCATTAGTAATAAATAAACATAATTTTCCGGTGTTTATGAATTAATCAGAACACAATTTACAATATATCTCTCATTTAAAAAAAAAATCCTTGTGCTGTCGAGACAATATGGATGTTTTATTTAATTAATTCATCGGGTGAGGGTGTTACGAGCCAGGACAGCATTTATTGCTTATCCCTAATTACTGAGAAGCAAGTTAAGAGTCAACCACATTGCTGGGGGTCTGGAGTCACATGTAGGCCAGACCAAGTAAGGATGGCAGTTTCCTTCCCCAAAGGACTCGACTGAACCAGATGGAATTTCCTGACAATTGACAATGGTGTCATGGTTATCATTTGACTTTTAATTCCATATTTTTATTGAATTCAAATTCAATAATTTCAATAGTTCAATAATTTCAATAATTCAATTCCCAAAATGGGGTTCAAACCTCGGTCCACAGAATAGTATCTGAGACTCTGGATTAACAGTCCAGCAACAATACCACCGGTCCAGTGACTCTGCTCTAACGTTAATACCCTTAACATCTAGAAGAGCTAAGGAATATGGGATAGTGTGGGAAAAAAGTGTCATGGGTAGAAGATCTACTGTGTTCTAATTGAATGGCGGAGCAGTCATGAAGGGCCAAATGACCTTACCCTTCATTATTCCTTCAGGTTTAACCCTGGCTTTTGTTGAGGAATAGTAAAATTATAAAAGCAATTTAGAATTAATAGTTCTGATGTTCAGTAAATTGTTTCTTTCAAAATAAATGTAATCAAATTACACGTATGACATGTACGAGATAACACAAAACACAAAACCCAAAACTAGCAGTAAAAAAATGAACTGGCATATGTGATTCCATGACCTTGGGATGTTGCAAAGTGGTTTACAGCCAAAAAAATATTTTTGTGTTGTAATGTAGAGAAACACAGCAGCCAGTTGGCACAAAGCAATGTCCCATAAGTATCAATGAGATAATGGCCATATTAACTGTTTGAGTAATGCTAATGGATGGACAGATATTCATAAGGATAAAGAAAGATACTCCTCTTTGAATAGTGATGAGCTGCGGGTCAGTATTTTCAGTGTCAGATTCCTTGGGCCTTCATAAATAGTGACTGGGATTCAGTGATTTTTTTTTGCCAGCAGAAGGAAGCGGATGGAATGTAATTTCTTTGAGCAATATCTGACCTCAAAGAGGCTATTTGAACTTAGGTTGTTTGAACTCTGAACTAATTTCTTTTGGCTGTACTAAGGATCCTGCAGTGTGGGTGTCACAAATTCATGGAGTATATCTAGACATTCTTGAATGGCAGATCTTGTCTGTTTAAGTGTAATGACCTGAAGACTTTTAAATAATAATTGAGTAAAGCTGTCAGTGACAGTCCTTATTTAAATAAAAAAGTCTGCTGGACTATTTTAATTGACAGGCCATCTGATGTAGGTTAGAAAAAGTCATGACCATCTGTTCTACGATTCTAAGGGACTAAATCTTCTGTTCATCCCCCTGGTGAGTTTAGGGATTTGATCAGGTGGAAGGGTAGCAGGTGGGATGTCACCAGCTTCATCCACTCAACCCAACTATGTCCTCAACGTGAAGGCCCATGATTGTCTTTCTGGCCCTCCCCTCAATTGAGTGCCTGAGTGGTATGAAATAAACTGGGCTTTCTGGAAAGAGGTGATGGGGTGGTCAAGACCCACATTGCCTCCACTAAATTGCACTTGGTAGAATTATTTTTTGACATTTTGTCAGTGCTGTTATTTTGTCAATGTGAATTCCTATCTACCTTAAATACTGCAAAGATCTCTTCTGAGCTCACTTCGACAGTTTAAAGAGGTTTTTAAAGGAATATCTGACTTTGATACAGATTATAGATTAATGACTTGGATTTAAAAGCTTTGAATAAGTTTTATGAATCAATTTCACTTTCAGGCATGTATGCATGAGAGCTCTTAGATTATCATCCTTTTCATCTCCACATGAGTCCTCTTGACTGGCCATTGTGAATTTGGGTGTGTGTCGATGGGAGTGATATGGCGAGGCATGGGGCTCTGAAGGTTTTTAAATATCAATCTGAAGAAGGGTCACTGGATTCAATGTTGACTTTGCTTTCATATGACACAGATGCTGCCAGATCTGCTGAGTTTCTCCAGCAATTTCTGTTTTTGTCTTTGTTTAATGCCTCATCTAAAAATTAACTTCTTGAAAATGGCACCTTTTCCAGTCAGGCTGTCCAGTCATCTGCATTGAACAGTGTGAAGTTCCTGTTCTTGCAAGATTGACACAACGCATACTTGTAACAGAAAGTTAAGTCAAGTCATTTCCAATCATTGTATCCTTTTAGCAGCATGTTAAGTATTAATTACTGCCAGTCAACCTCTCCAGGACTGAATGTTAACTATGGTACATGTGAAGTCACACTTTTTCTGTTTTCAGTTGTTGCAGGTCTAAAAACAAAGAAACATAAGAGTTGTCTTTTTCACTTTGTGAATCTTCTTTTCTCCCTTAATCCAATTTTTTTTTAATCTTTCTGTCTATCTGGATTGAAATCATTCACTCACTCTAGCTTGCAATTTTTTTTTAATCTTGCTTGCTCATTTTATCAATCCATCAATTTAATTGGCTAAAGAGATACATAATTGCTTGCATTATTCATTCTGATCCTAGGTTTTCTGTAGAGGGTACCATGCTATTTTCATTTCAGACCTTGAGCATGCTGCTGCTCAGAATATCATCAACATTAAACAAAGCTAATTAACACACAATTTTCCTCTGAAAGGCAATCTTTAAAGGTTCGATGGTGAAATTCAGATTTATTTCCTTAACTATAGGTATCTGTTGGTATGTGATAAGAGCTAGGTTTTCACAATTAAGAGGTAACAAAGCTTAAATGGCATTCTGATCTTGCTGTGAAATTTGAATTCCTGCAATTTAGGATTTTGTTTTATGTTGTTAGGTTCATAGCTTGCTACAAAAGATGCTGTTAGTTGCTGAATTATTATTGCAAGAGGAATGAAAAATTTAACAAAAAAAGGCTAGTTGAGTCTCTGATTGGAGGTCAGATGCTGGTGGGTGTAGCAATGGAGGATAGAATCTTAAACCATGAATGCACAAGTAAATGTCATTCATGTAAGTACTGGACATTCCTCTCCACTTTTTCAAATATTACTCTACATTCAAAGATCATATTAGGGCAGGTAAATTTGTTCTGTTACAGTGGTGCACAATGTCAGAAATAGACATCTGATATTGTCCTATAAAAGAGGAATCCGGGGGAAAGAAACTCAACCTGATGAGTACAGACTAGGTTAGGACTAGGATTTCAGTCTTGGAGTTGAGATTTTGAATAGTATTTGAAGATGGTGATGAGTAGCAATTCTGATCAGCAGTTAGGGTCTTTATCTTTTTGTACTTTGAAAGTGCTTGGATCCAAGTGAGCCTTTCTATGTGATGAAAGGATTTCAAGCTGTTGAGCTTAGGGATATGATCATGTAGAACTCAATGGGGTAGCCATTAGGTTGAAGATTTATCGTCAAGGTTATTATGATAACAGACAAAAATTTCACTAGTAATTTCTGCTAATCTTCTATATCATTCATATCAATATATGTCCCTTGGCTATAATTCTCCAAAGATACTCTACACCCTAATTTTCAATAATAAGTATTAATATCTCATATAGATGGACATAGTCATTTCAAGTGGGATAGAACTCTGTTTCGAATAGAATCTTATTTTTCCGGTACTGAAATCCCATGAAGTTCTCTTTCTGCAAATGAACAGTATTTGAGAAAGAAAGCCACACCATTATTTTCCTGAAATATTGTGGCTTAAGAAATAAAACATCATAATTCCTTAACTGTCAAGAAATAAACAACAAAAATATGGCACACAGAACAACAACACTACTGCAATATAAATCTTTTGTAATTTCCATCTTCCTTCCTAGTCTAGTGACAGACAGACAAGGCAAGTGCTTTATTTCTGTTTTGTAGTGCTATATTTTTCATTCGCCAGGGGCTTGAGCAGCGTTGCTTTGCATTACATATGGCTGACTAGGTGATTTACCTGCTCTTACTGGCTGCCATAGGTATAACTGTAGGATTTGTAGCTGATAATCAACCTCTTTGGTACATAATCCATCCATCGCCATCAAGTCCTGGAGGAGGACTCCATTCCAGAGCTTCTGACTTGGAGGCAAGGAGGCTACACAATGCCACGTGAGCTACCACTTGAATCTACTCCAGATTAAATCAAGCACAACGGATGATCATGAAATAAAAAGCGATGTTTATCTTGCTGTTGAAGAAAACTGTCAGAAAATTAAATGGAGATTTTATATTGTTTATTCAAAAACATCTATATTCAATAAAATATTATCGTTGTATGCCAGAAGCTAGATAACCAGCATTAGTTACTAACGCCACCTTTTCAATAACAGATTTCTGATTTAATTTCACATATTTTTTGACTTCTTTTACCCAAGGAAAAATAAATGATACACTGTTAACATTAATTGGGAGAAACTAAAGGAACGACTGGAAATTTATGGTGTATTTTTTATGTCCTTGGGATATACTAAAGGACCTTTCAGCCCGTTAATTACTTTTAATGAGAAATCATTGTTGTGGTGTAGGCAAACACTGCAGCCAGTTTGCATACAGCAGAGATCCTCAACTAGTAGTGAGACGAACAATCAGTGAATCTACTTTTGACTGAGGGATAAATATTTGCGAGGAAACCGGGTGAATTTTTTGTTCTTGCT